AAAAAAAAAAAAAAATCACTTTGACATTACTTCCCTATGTTACTTAATTTTTAAAATTTCCTTCGGGTCACTGACTTGAAGAAATATTCCTTAATTCTAACTTAACCTCTACCCTTTTTTTCAGGAAGCAGAAATGATGTTTAATTAATTGAGTTTTTTGAAAATATTGAAAGAATTAAAAGTGACTGTTTTGTCATTATTTAGTTACATTATGGGACCTCAAGTGAGGAACAACTGAAGATGGGCTTTTTTGGTTCCTGGTTGCTTTAACCATCTGCCTAGTCACTCGTGTGTGACCTGCTCAGTTAATTGTGGCATTGTTTCACAACTACATCCATTTGAATGGTCTCTTGAGATAACCTTTTGCTTCTAAAGGTAACGTCACAGTACATTACTAGGGGTCTCTTGAGAAATTGTCTAAAACTCTACTGAAACAGTAGCTGCTAGTGACATGTAGCTAAATTTGTTAACTGAAGTTAAAATTAAAAATTCTTTTCTTCAATCACACTTGCCAAGTTTCAGGTGTTCAGTAGCCATTGTGGCTAGTGGCTACTGTATTAGAGCAGATCTAGAATATTTCCATCATTGAATAAAAATTTTATAGAACAGCATTGGTCTAAAAAGATGAGTACACTATATCTAGTATGTCAGGCAGTTTTTAGAACATCAGCCTCATTCATTTTACTTCCCATGAATCCCTATGTAGAATTTGCTTTGTACGGTTGATTTTTAAAAAATTAATAGACTTTTTTTGGGAATGGTTTTTAGGTTTACAGAAAAATTGAGCAGAAGAAAGTACAGTTTCCGTATACCCTTTCACATATACCCTTATCCCCCTATTATTTACATCTTGCATTAGTATGATACTTTTGTTAAAATTCATGACCCAATATTGGTACATTATTATTAAGTCCATAGTTTAGGGTTTTCTCTGGTGCTGTATATTCTATGCTTTTTGACAGACGTGTACTGACATGGATCCATGATTATAGTATCACAGAAGAGTTTCACAGTCCTATAAATCTCTTGTACTCTACCTATTCATCCCTCTCTCCCTTTCCCTAGACTACTGGCAACCACAGGTCTTATTTTT